TATAAAAGTAGGATCATGTAGAAACTCAAAAATTGGTAAAAACCGCGAGGACAAATCTTAGCCTTAAGATTGAAAAAAAAAGTAGAGATTTGATTTTATTTATCATCAAAATCTCACAAAATGGTATGATGATTTGGTAATTATATGCGAGATAATGACAATTTTCGGTAAAGATTAAATGTTTTGAGGGTTAAAAAGGAAAAGCAAAAAGCAAAAAAAAAAAAATTGATTTTTGGAACACACACGCGCTTACACACTCCCAAACCTACTCTCCCCCACTCTCATGCCAAGTGTCAGCTCATCATTGGCTAGGTTTTTTTCCAACTATTTTGTTTTTTGGCCATAACTTTTTTTTTTTGAAAAAAAAATCTGAAAAATCAAAGTAATTAAAATTTAATTCTCTTCAAAATTAGCATAATCATAAAAATTTGAAAAAAAAATATTTTTAATTTTTTATATTTTATAAAAAAGCCCAGAAAAAAAATTCTCTAAAAATTATAAAAGTTTAAGGAATACTTCTACTCATTATTCTAATGACTTTTTAAAAAGAATTTTTTAAAAAATAAGGTATTTTAGATGCTAAACTTGATTTTAAAAGATTAAAAGTTTTAAAAAAAATGTTGAACATAATATGATCCAAATAGAGATGAATCAAAATATTTATGATTAAAAAAATATTATGATTCAATATGTTTATGATCCTTAACTTGTTATGATCTAAAGATATTTTGATTCAAATATTTAATGATCCTTAATTATTATATTTTTTATAATTCAAAATTAAATGATTCAAAAATTTTAATGATCCAAATATTGTATTGAACAAAAACTTTATTTAATTCGATATATTATGATCCAAATTAATATGATCTAAAAATGTATGATGCATAATATCGTTATGATTTAAAATACTATGATTCAAAATTTTATGATCTAAAAATAATATGATTAAAAAAGAAAGTATGAATGAAAAATATTATGATCCTTAATATTCTTCTTATTTAAAATTTTATAATTGTTAAACATTAAAAAATCAAAATGATATGTGGACCCATATATATATATATATATATATATATATATATATATATATACATATTTGGGGTTTTATTAGCATCAATATAGTATTTAAAGGTAGCGGAATCAATCAAAAGATTTACGTAAGTGTACATGCTCCATATATCTAGGTTTTAATAGTTATAACAACAAACTTTAAAAATCAACTAGAAAGAAACATACTAACCTCATGATTGCTCTATTAGGATCTCGTATGTGCCGGTGCTTTTAATAGATGAATGATGTAAAGTAGAACCCCTCTAATGTAGTCAGACCCACAAACACCAAAAACAAAAAGGCAAAACCCTAGTCTAGGGTTTATTTGAAATTTCTAATCCTAAGAGAGAGGTTATAATTCTGTATATGGAGAGAGAGAGAGAGAGAGGAGGTTTGATGGATTTTATGAGAAGATTCAGGTCTTTGGGTTTGATCCATAACAGTCTATTTATAGGTTGCCGATAACACTAAAGGATACAAACTCTTAGGATTAATCCTTACCATATCAAAAACATGCCTTATCTCTATTAGGGACTAGCCAAAGCCATCCACCATAGGGTCTCCATGAGCTTTTGAAATATTCCAATTAATCTCTTGGGTTAATTAATATTCAACCTCTTTAATTAATTGAAATAGTTTAGTTAATTCCAAAATAATTTAAATTAGTTTATTTATTTCTTACTTAGTTAATAACTTATTTATCTCCATTTCGATATTGTTATTTGGGTCATGAGGTCAACCCAAAAAGACCATGCTATTGAAACATCCCAAAAATTATAAGGTAAAAATTTCATTTTTAATTCAACTAGAAACATCATTTATCTTCTTTCCAATCATTCAAAAGTATTTCAGAATAAAAATAGTTATCAGAGTACAATCCCAAAATCATATAGTCACGTAAACATGGGTGGGTGCGCTGCGATCAAGCAGAACCCTTCCCTTTTGAACCGGAAGTACCTGAAAGCATAACCATAAAACTGCAAGCACAAAGTTTAGTGAGTTCCCCAAAGTACCACATACCAAAACAAAAGAAAATAAATGCTATGGGCCAAATCATAGTCTTATATTCATTTTCTGCCATGGGCCAAACCATGGTCTTTCCATGCAGTGCCAATGGCCAAATCCCGGTCTTACATACAAGTGCCAGGGGCCAGATCTTGGTCTTCCATATAATTACCAGGGCTAGATCCTGGTCTTTCATACAAATGTCACGGGCAAGATCTTGGACTTTCATGCAAGTACCACAAAGACAACTAACATTCTACACAACAAGTAATGAGCCGACATTGGTGCTTTCGACCCATAGTTCTAGAGAGGAGACCCACCTCAATCCGAAATAACCAAAACACACGCGCTGCTGCTACCAGAATCCTCACACTGAACACAACCAAATAGAATATGATTTTTCAGTCTTTTAAAGACAAAATAGTAATATTAAAAATAGAAAAGTATACATATATAGTGTTAAATAATGCTTTTTTTTCCTCCAGCGTTTCAATTTTTTTGGAAAAAAGTTAAAACTTGTTAAAATATTTTGGATATGTTAAAGTTGAGGCGTTTTTATAAGTAATTAACTTCTAATTTTCAAGAAAAAGATCGATTAATAAAATGATTTGTATGTAAATATGGGCTTAAATCTTTTATATTAATTTTTTTGAAATGGCAAACTAGGCAACCTATTCCTAAATACAACTGATGAATGTATTAAATAAAAAACTATTCATCCAAAAGTTACTTTAAATAGTTTTTATGAGTTTTTAACTTTTAGCATCCATAAGAAAAACCTAGTGGTTGGCGTACAAAATTCCAGACAAGAGTTACATGGTTCAAATTCTATCAAATCCATAATATTTATCGAGTCTAACGATTTATCTCCCATATGGGCCTGATGATGATTTAATGTAGGCCGTTTAGATGATGCGGTTTACCTTATTTAGAAGCTTTTAGATTTTATAAATTTTTGGCTATTAGCTTTTATGTAATCTATCTTATGACTATTTTTTTCGAACATTTTTGCACAAATAAAAGTTACAACCCCTATTTTACATATCCTAACTTTCATGTACCAACTATTTTTTGTCAAACACATTATTTTTGTAACTTTGGTGAAACAATTACAAAATTTAGTAGACTTCAACTCTTTTATTTAATTATTTTAAATGTTTTGTTTAAAAAACATTGTAGGATGAGAGTCTAAAAAGGGGTGAACGATGAGCTTTTAATGCATGAAATATGGTTCAAGGACGAAATGAACAACAAATGTCTATAACATAATAGATAGAAATGGTTAAGGATGCAAGAGAGTTAAAAAGATGACATCCCACCAAGTTGGTTTTTATTTTTATTTTTGTATTTGTCCCCCCAATAACAAGTGGCTTACTAGTGTGAAACGCCACCCCCCTCAGAATCACTATAAATATAGTCCATGGTGTAGCAGAGAACACGCAAACTACATCACTTCAACATGTCACACCCATCAACTTCACCATCATTAGAACGAACCCACTACACCTTCTCCTCTCTGAAAATCAACCACAAAAGTCTTCTGTGGAGTTTAGATCGCAGAATCTGATCAGTAAAACCACCAACCCTCATTCGCTTATTATCTCCTTCGTACGTCCTTTTCACTAAGTGCTCTTTTCCCGTCTTATTTGCGTTTGTGTTCCCACTATTGAAGCATATGCTTCAGCTTATCTACTTCATCATTGTTTCTTGATTGCAATTTCCTTTCAAAGCTCTTTACCTTCATAGTTTCTTGTCCTTCTGGGGTTCAATTTGAGATGGGATTTTGAATACTTCAAGAGATCAAGATTTTTGACCTGCACATGACATCGCTTGTTAGTTCTTTCTGAGTCAACTGCAATCTTTACATTTATGTGCTAAAATGGATTCTTGGAGCTTTAATTCTGTGGTTAAGGCTTTCGTAGATGATGAATCTCTTTCAACTGCTGATGCATTTGAGAAAGATGAAACTGGATCAATCGGATGGGATGTTAAACCCCCATTTATCTATGGGAACAACACCATGTTGTTCCCAAACGAAATTAACATTAAGAATCAACTGTTTGGGGACATCGGTTTTCCTCCATTGATGAGGAATTCGTTGTTCAATCCAGCTATGGCTACCTCTCAGAATGCATTTTCTGAGGGTAACGTGTCTAGTTCCAAGCTTCAATCTAACTCTAGAGAGTTTGAACTTTTTGATCTTAAGTTAGGTAGGCTTCCTGATCAAAGAGAGGCTCAGATGGTTTCCCACAATTTGAGTACATCAGAAGTTTCTACGCCATCAAAGCGACCACGAGATATGGGTTTCAGTTCTTCTACATCATTTTGCAAAGTTCATGGTTGCAATAAAAACCTCAGCAATTGTAAAGAATACCACAAAAGGCATAAAGTTTGTGAGGTTCACTCAAAGACTTCTAAAGTCATTGTGAATGGCATTGAACAAAGATTTTGTCAGCAATGCAGCAGGTTGATTTTCAATATCTTTGGCGTATAAACAAACACTTCGTTGTAGCCTATTTTGGTTATTTCAGTAACCATTGAAGATGAACTTGAATAGTTGCTAAATTCTTGAAAAAGTTCAGTTGATTTTTAGCATGTTTTCTGAAACGACCACCATTAACCATTTAGTGTTCTAAATTTTTGTTGGACCCAGGTTCCATGTGCTGTGCGAATTTGATGATGGCAAGAGGAGCTGTTGCAAACGTCTTGCTGGCCACAATGAGCGTCGAAGGAAACCACACACAGGTGTCCTCTCTGAACAACATGGGAGATTGTTTCCTTCGTATAACATCAAATTTGAAGGTAATCCTGCTACTTTATTTCAGATTAGATGAATCTTGTTATCAGGTTGCTTTAATTGAATATTTGTGGTTATACTTATATCTCGCATGTAACTTTCTAATTGTTGTGAGAGGGAAGTTCATTTGTCATTTCTGTATACATCATGTGAATACGCCAAATTTCCCATGAATGTTGAGATCCTCATTAAAGGAATATATATATATACGAGGGATACTAAGGCTAAAGGGAGTGGTAACACTCCTAGCACCCTGCCACATCATATTTTTTTGCTACCATGTCATTTTTTGGCTTGCCACCTCATTAACATCTTTTCCTTAACATTTTATAGGGAGTGGTAACACCCCTAACACTCATTGATTTTTTTTTATCAAAATTAAATATATTATATTTTTTAATACACATATATTTCATATTAAATAGACTATATTTTTATACAACACAAAATTAATATTAAATAAAAAAGTTTTTATTTTTGGATAAAATATACTAAGTTGCTGAAACTTTAGGGGCAAAATGTGTAACTTGTTCATCTTCCTCTTAATTGTTTGTTATCGAAGTTTCTTCCCCAATTTTCCTGGTTAAAAGAACGCTAACAAAAAATTGAAACTTCGACTATGGTCCATTGAAGGCTCAAGATCACCTTCGACTATGGTCCATTGAAGGCTCAAGATCACCCACAGGTTCATCATCTTTCTTATTATTTTGATCTA